TCTATTATATGCAAAATTATTTACTTGCAAAGCTATTCGTTTTACTTCGCTAATAAGTCTCTAGTGCTATGCAATTTGTCAAAACATTTTACGACTTATTAACAGCAACACTTAATTCATATTAGAATTGACAAATAACTTTCTACGTGCCGATATATTTTAACGTTCCTTTGTCAATTAAAACTGAGTATTTGATTGCAATTTAGCCAGATCTAGTAAAATGGAAGCTTTTCTTTCATGTGATATGACGTCATTTCATTGAGCAATCACGTAAATGTGAATATCGAACGACGAACAATACCGAATAATGGCTTGAAATGTTCGTTGATAGTAAATACAACTTAGCAATAGTATTTTTTTTAAATAAATTAATTTGAAAAAGTTGAAAATGTATTAATATTTGTGGACGTTGTAGCAAAAATAACCGTTTTAATTGAGTGCAAATGTGCATATTTATATCCAGTAATATTGAGATGTCATTTTTGTGCCTTTAGAAAAATTCCAATACTGTTAATTTTGTGTGATAAGGGTGCGTAATTAAAATCTACATTCTAAAAGGGTGTTTAAAATTATTACGTAAATATTGTTCGACTAATATTGTCACATGTCATTGTCATATTACAGGTGTGTAAAAACGATACTTTAGTTAATTAGAACGGAAAATACAAAATCTACTCTTTCTTTTGAAATAAGTTTAAGCAGAAGATATACTGAAACTATTTATTTATTTCCAAATATATCTGTTTGGGCTAATACCCGAATAAGTTGTATAACTAGCGGGTTGGGTAACGTCCACATAATAAATAAAATAAGTATGAATTCTTTGATTGAGTTTTTTTTTCTTAAATACGAAAGCATATACTTCAACATAAAAAATCCGCGGACATTTATATTATTTAACAAATAATCAGACTGCAAAAATATCAGGTAAAGAAAGGTTTACAATATTTTCGGGCATTACTCGAAACATATTTATGAAGCATTAATGTCTTTAAATGAATATACTACCACAAAACCTGGTCATTGTTTTAAGCACATCATTATATTTCTTCCAATAATTAATTTTCGAATCATCACGAAAATAATAGCCATTAATTACGACGCTATCCTCAGTGTCGCTTTAAATTTTGAACTTGATATGATTATATAAATGCAAAATTTAGGACTAGTTTAAAACAAATAAATAGATCACCAATCACGACGAAGTATTAATATAATTTAAATTTAGGAAAAACAGTATCGTCGAATAATCACGTTACAAGTAACACAAACAATATACTTAAATATATAGACACATAGTTCAGTCGAATTAGTCAAAAGTTTCCGACGCAGAATAAAGTTCTACCTAAAAATGTAAAAAAAAATATACTAAAAATAATAACGTAATATTACGCAACTTAAAACGAAATAAATACTGTAAGTACTACGAATATCGTAAAATGAAATACAGTCGACGGTGACGCCGCCGACGTGACTTTGGTACGAGTATGTCCCGATCCAGTCCGAGAATATGGCCAAGTTCGTTTCTCAGTTACAATATTGGACTAGCATGAAATTCGTTAACGATTCGCCCGCTTGGCTAAAGTTTCTTCCTCCTTGGATCATCGCCATTTGGGTTTCTGAAATTCGAAACAATAAATTCAAGTTCTATACATAAAGTTTTGTAAAATTAAATACAATTAAATTAGTGCGTACATTGTATAGGTAGTGTAATAATATTTAAATCGTGATAAATCACATTTTAATTAAAATAAACTATTTATGCATTTTTATGGCCTTTCCATTAATGAATGTGGTTAAAAATTGAGCAAGCAAGATGAAATAAGTTCTTAGAAGTTCAAGTTCTTAGAAATGGTACAAGTATAATGAAAGTAGAAGTACGTGTATAGATTTAGACTACAATTATTGTCAACTAATTATAGTAAGTACAAATACAGATTATCTAAAATTAATGGATGTAATATTATATAGGATAAAAGGAGTATTACAAAAAAAAAACGTGAAATTACAAGGTTTCCTCGTCGAAATTATATGTTTTCCGTTCATTGCTTGAAATAACAATTACATGGTTAAAAATAGTTCGTTTTCTCTACTACAATAAGCCCAAGCAAATTTTAACTTATTTATTTATTTAGTAATAATTATTCCCCCGTGCAACGAGCCAAAACTCTGAAGGACATGATTTGGGACCTCTAATTTGTAGATTCTATTGAATATCGACGATCAAAAAAATATTTTTATCTTACAAATACCCTATGCTTTAATAATGACAAAATACATTTTTGTTATATGCCGTAAGGAAAAAAAATCGACATAATTTTATTAACGACCTAAAAATCTTCTATACAAGTCCCAATATCTCCGAAGTTCTAAATAATTTTGACGTAAAATTTATACCAAAACAATCCTCAACATTTTCTTAAATTATACTATGATTTTATTTTTCAAATCGTTACTATTATTTTTAATTAATTAAATAAAAGTGCTATATATGTCACTGCACCGCCCATCTGAGATCATTATAGCGTATGCAACAGGTATGCAACCATACTATTTATTTATTTATATCACTTTGCTACCGTTAATAGATATAATCGATTATTAACCAACATCGGTTAACAATCGATTACTGCGCAACCAAATATTTATGTGTACTTATTTGAACAATAAGGTTCATAAATAATAAAAAATATATCAAGTAGATTATAATAAATTAATAAGATAACATAAAAATGACACACCAAAAAGTTTTCATCCACTGAACTCCATCCTAAGAAAACTTGTATAATGGAAGATCAAAATCGTTTAGTCGTTATACTCACAGTATCGTAGTGCGAGCGAGTGAATAGATATGAAATAAAGTATCGCTTGTAACTCGTAACTCTGCAGGAGCTCGGGTCGTCACCCGCTCGGTGCGTAAAATACCTAAATTTGCGTAACGGCAATACGGTTTTCGCCGTGGTCGGTCAGCTGGTGATCTTCTGGTCTACCTAACTCACAGATGGGCGGAGGCAGTAGAGTCCAAGGGGGAGGCATTGGCCGTTAGTTTGGACATTGCGAAGGCCTTTGATCGGGTTTGGCATAAAGCGCTTCTTTCGAAGCTCCCTTCCCATGGGCTTCCCGAGAAATTGTGCGATTGGATCACCAGCTTTCTTGCAGATCGGAGCATCAAGGTCGTTGTAGACGGTGCAAGCTCCGATAACAAAGCTTATTAATGCTGGTGTTCCACAAGGCTGCGTGCTATCGCCAACGCTGTTTCTTCTGCATATCAATGATATGTTGCAAACCCGTAATATTCATTGCTATGCAGATGACAGCACTGGTGATGCTCTTTACACCGGCCGTGTCAATATTTCTCGGGAAAACGTCTCCGAGTGCTGGGACTAACTTGTGTCTGAAGTAGAGTCTTTGCTGAACAGAGTCTCGGATTGGGGACGACTAAATCTAGTCCAGTTTAACCCCCTGAAGACACAACTTTGCGCGTTAACCGCTAAAAAGAACCCCTTTGTCGTATCCCCTCAGTTTCAAGGCACTCCCCTTGTTGCCTCAGTCAGTATCGGAATCCTCAGCGTCGACATATGCAGTTTGTATGACATTGCAGTTTCGTGGTCACTTGGAAGAGAAGGCCAAATTGGCCTCTAAAAAGCTTGGCGTGCTTAGCAGAACGGGACATTATTTCATGCCGGCACACCGCCTGCAAGTTTATAAGGCGCAGGTTCGGCCGCACATGGAATACTGTTCACATCTCTGGGCTGGGCCTCCCCAGTACCAGCTCCTTCCACTTGACCGCATCCAGCGCACAGCGGTTCGAATCGTCGATGACCGAGTGCTTTCCGATCGGCTCGATTCACTGTCATTCGATGTTGCATCTCTTTGCATTTTCTTTCGCATATACCATGGAGAGTGCTCTGAGGAATTGTTCGGATTAATCCCAGTCGTCAAATTTCGTGAACGCACTACGCGGCAAACGTCCCGATACCATCCACACCATCTGGATGCTTGGCGGTCCACCACTGTACGTTTCAAAAGGAGTTTTCTTCTGCGTACGACCTCTCTGTGGAATAGTTTACCACCAGCGATTTTTCCGGACCGACGACCTGGGGACCTTCAAGAAAAGAGCTTACTCCTTTCTAAAGGGCCGGCAATGCACCTGCAATTCCCCTGGTGTTGCGGTTGATCATGGGCGGCGGTAGTCACTTAACATCAGGTGAGCCGCATGCTCGTTTGCCCCCTCTTCTATAAAAAAGCTCTAAAGCGTTTATTTCTGGTAGTTGTAGTCTGTGGCGCAAAGAGAATGCTACTCGTATTTAGATTGTGCTATATTATATATTATGATTGTATATACTTCGATTTTATATTAACACATACCATCACAAGAAGACTTGGTCGCGTTCCGAAATCACAATAGGATCGGATCAGGTCGCAAAGTCAAAGTAGATAGAAAGTCCGTTTCGACACGTCCGTGGAGTGGACTTCAAACCACTGCAGTAATGAGTACTATTAGAACAGATGCTGAGACTTGGTTGATTGCAACACGCGTTAGCGCCCGCGGGCTCAAACTTACCTTATTCTGTGCTAAAAAAAGTACCTTTTTGTATTGAATGTACCTTTCTGTAGCTCCTTCTACGCGCCCAGCAATGCCGCATAGATATTGTGTAATGAGATCTTTTTCGCGGTGTTTGTTCTAGTACGAAGTATATATTACTTCAATTATTTAGAAGCATATTGATGTGAATAAGTTTTTAAATTTGCTTCCGTACTTGAAGACAATTAAGAAAATAGATAATAATAAAATCAGAGGATACAGTTTTGTGTAGCAATTACATATTTATCATCTACATACAAAATTTAAAGTACCAAAGAACTTGTTACTTTGTGTGAGGACTATGAGATTTTACGAACATGTACTTACTTAAAACACTCGGGCTAATCCACGATATAGCCATACCTCGGTTTTTTTTCCAGTTTAGTCCGTTTAGTGAAAAGTGTGCGGACTGACCTCACCAGTAGGCGTGCAGGCGCAGGCAGTCGCCGGCCAGGTCGGCGAGCAGCGCGCGGCGTCGCGGCAGCAGCGCCAGGCCGGCCACGCGTCGCGGCCGCCGCTCGGCCAGCTCGCACGCCGCCAGCACGCGCCCGCCCGCCTCCAGCGCCAGCAGCGCCGGCCGCCCTCGCACCGCGCGCGTGCACACGATCACCCACCCGCCGCCGCCCTCCCCCGCACACCCCGCGCACCGCTCCAGCGCCACGCCGCCGTACCCGCCGCGACCTGACCACCGACACTCTTAAGCCACCGATACAACCGTTAGCGCTAAGCGAGTCACAGACTACGCAGATATGATAATATTTTATCTGGCTATAAAAACTTTATTATCTGAAAGTATCACACACAACACAACGCTACTACTGCATACAATGATATACAAAATGCTACGTTCACCCGAAATCCTTCAAATTTACTAGAGGTGTTTCTTGGAGCGGATTGTTTATATAGAGTGTTACCCTCAATGAGTTTGCGTATATTGCTTCTAGATTTGCTAGACAGTTCATCAAACTAGTATTATGATATTGTTTTTGATGCACGTATTGCATTAGAATTAACTAAGATGAACAATTTGCATAGAACGTCATATAAAGCTTAAAAAGGACCGAGGCGAATATAATCACATATTTTCATCGACCATGGTGTATTTATCTGCGCGTTAAATCTTATGTCGTTTTTTGTATCTGCAGATATATGATTATGTATTAGCAGATTATATTGTCACTACTTTTCAATATATATGTCGATGCTTACAGATACTTAACGATAAAACATAAATTATCTGCACTGTGTGTGTTAATTCATTGAATTTCATAGAGAGCTATATTGAAATGCATGCACTGAGGTACAGATATCATATCGTATTTGCGCAGTGTGTGACATCCTTAGACTCGTCCATAAATTGCCTTATTATCACGATCATCATTACAGCCCTTTACAAGTCCACTGCTGAACACAGGCTTTCTCCAAAGAATGCCACAGAACACGATTCTGAGGCACCTGCATTCATCGACTTTCTGTATCTGCACCAGATCGTCACTCCATCTAGCGAGAGACCACCTTAGCCTTTACCTACCGGTACGGGGCTGCCACTCGAGAACCTTTCTCCATCTCCATCCCCATCGATTGTTGGTTCTTCGAAATAATCGCCGACGCATTGCCACTTCAGCTTACTAATCCGATTGCCTTATAGGGGGAATGTTTGCCATAGTTGCCAGACGCTTGGCAAGCGAATTGGCGAACGCAGTTTTGTAATTTTAGTCGTTATTAGACAGACGCTGTTGCCCATCTCCTGATTTGTTTTCCTATGTGGCCTCTTACGACAGCCACGAGATGATTTGGAGTAGTGGATATTTTAAACATAGCCCGATACAACACCGTGCAAATAACTCCCTCCAACAGGCCTATTACATATTCATTCACTAATCAGTCGATTTCATCAATCATGAACTGATGAAATGATAGCTAGGAGCCTAGGAGGACGTTTACAGCGCCTGCACTGATATATTCCCATCATAAGGGTATAGTTACAGGCTATGAAGAATTCCATCTTGGTGCTCAAAGTTGATAACGCATCTACAGCAAAGCCTTCTATGTATACTACTGGTCCGACAATTTATAACAAAAATTCCTGTGATGTCTCCCACAGCTGTAAATCACGCGCGCCGAGGGCAGGTACCTGGCACAGTAAATATGACACGCAGTCGTATTTTCGTTTACGGCAGTTACTGTTTATAGACAAACACGAAATAAAGGTATATTTTTTACAGGATAGAGTGACAAACGAGCACACAGTCCACCTGATGGTAAGTTGTCAGCGTTGTCACCCGTGAGGACTAATATGGAATGCCTCGTTTCCAGTAAAAAGGGTCTCCGGTTCTCTACACTCACCATACGAAACATAGCAGCAATAAGCAACTATTTTACGCTGGTATTCTGTGAGAGCGTGGTCCTTCTCCGGTCGAGCCGACCCATTCGTGCTGCAACTATACTACTATTATAACTGCAGCATGGCTCTACCACGTAAAAAATATATGTTATATATGTACTAATTTTAAATAAACTTCAAATCCAGTTGATTGTCAATGTACACACATAAATTATGACAGATTTTCGTAGTCACATTAAACAAAACCAATGTTAGATTATCGAAAACCTCGTCCGCAGTTTACCAAATCAAATAACTACGTTTTCTCGCCTGCTCGCAGTCAAGTAAAGTAGTTATGGAGATTTGACCGTAAGTTAGTACGCAATGTATTATGGCCGTAAAGCCTGTCTAGTAGTATACATAAAATTCTATGATCTTTAGTCTTTTTGTTTTTGAAGGTTGCTGTAGGTATCCATGAACTGCAACAGCCATTTTTACCATCAGGTGAACTATAAGTATGTATATCATCTCAGTTTTATAAAAAAGTAATTGCCAAATACTGACGTCTGAACTATGGGTGATCATTATTTTGTAGTATACTCCATAAAATTGATTGTCATATATAAGTATACGGTACAGAAAGTATATGGTGCGTGAAATCGAGTGATAAGAAAAATTTAAATCGTTATGATTACCCCTCCGCGCATGCATCTTTTACTGAAGGCGTGCAACAGCGCCATCTACTCCATTCTGTAGGTTATTTTATCGAACAAATTAATTGACTTGACTCTCAAACAGTATTACGGAAAATAGACGCCAAATGGCTAAAATGAGACAAATTGGAATTAAATCGGTAAAAGTTACGAAATCATGAATGATAGTTTTACTGAACATGTTTAATTTTATATAGTTCTTAAGGAGTAAACTCCAATCCAGTGTGACTGTAGTAGAGAAAGAAAATGTAGTGAAGTTTTTAATGTAAATATGTATTTAGACACATTCTGTATGTTATATTGAGTTTGATATTCGGTTCACTTAAAATGATCGAAAATGAAACAGAAGCCTATAATAACATAAACAATTGCTTAGTCACTTAGGCCCGTATTAATAAACGTTACTCAACGACGAGCTCAAGTGCGTAATCATTTGATACGCTCTCATCATGATATCAGCATCTCAAGATCGTTGCTAATTAATAAACAGATAAAAACAGTATCTCAGTTACCAAGATCAGTTCCTTAAGACATTGTACTTAGAGTTACTGTCAGATACTGTTCTGTGACTTGAGCGCTTGATCTCGGGAACGATTACGTCACATAGATTGAAGTTTAGAATATCATTCATCACGTTTCGTTTTTTGCTATATATCATGAGGTTTATTGAATACCTTTATTTTGATAAAACTTAAATAAATAGAGCTGTATCACTTTATATGGTTGCTTTCTACTAACTAAAAGCTTAAATTTTTATAACTATTGTGTATATCTCTCTAAATACGAATTAAATATTCACTACTTAATTCAATATTGTACATATTACAACAATAACCTAACGCAAATCGACGACAGCGTCAGTCTCAAATATAAAACCGACGTATCATTTTTGACACTTGAAAATAGAATCTTGTACGTGACTTTGATCTCGCGAGAAAATTAAATACAAAAATGGAAAGCAAGAAGCATGTTTTTACTCCAATGGAGAAAAAAGGCTTTCTCGAAATTATTAAAAAATATAAGGCTATAATTGAAAATAAAGAAACCGATGGCACGTCTCTACGCATTAAAAATGAGGCCTGGAGCAAAATAACCCTCGAATATAATGCTAGTCCATATGCATCTAGCCAGGTAGGTAATTAATTATACTACAAATATCACTTTTTAAACAATATAACATCAGTAATCTGAAATTTTCAACATAATTTCCGAATGTACCTAATCGTGACAGGTTTATTTTATCTTACATTCTACATTAATATTTCAGGGAACAACTAAACAATTACGTCGGCTATGGATGAATTTAAAACAAAGGCAGAGAGAGGCACTAACAAAAGAACGCCAACACCGCTTGTCCACTGGAGGAGGGCCTTCAATAAGTGATGCCACCATCGACCCTGATGTTGCCGAAGTAGCCCCAGCACTTATTGTTGGTATAGATAGTGCTATTGATTCAGATGCAGTCCTAGGTAAATATATATATTATATATAATAGTATATAAATAAATTCATATACAGCTCTAACCAATATGTCTGAGGTTAATTTTACAACTGTGTTTTTCAGAAATTAAGGAGAATGACATGATGCAACCGATATATATAGAGGAAGTGGATGAAACGTTGCCTATTGAATCTATAGGGATAGCAACAGAAAATATACCATCCACTCATGAAGCATCTACACCCACCTCTGTTACTCAAATAGTCCCTAATATACGAAAAAGAAAACCAACAGCCCTGACAGGTCAGCGTCAGAAGGACTCAGTTTTGGAGAGGGAATACAAAGATCGGCAAATGAGGGCTAATGAAAAACATGAAATGGAAATGAAGATTCTTAATTACCAGCTCCGAGAAGCCAAGGCAAAAGCTGAGCTAGCTGAGCTGATCCTTAGTCAAAAAAACAATGTTGCTCAGGTAGTGTTATTACGAGTATAATGATTACTTTGTTTATTAAAGTGCTACATATCTACAAAATAATGTTAAATAGTCCAGTGAATCCGCTCGCTATATTACAAAAATCACATTTTGAGACATATAATGTAATAACAGAGCACTTGAAAGTACAGTTTGACTATTTCTTGTAGTTAACATTCAAATACAAGCCTTTGTTTTTTGTTACAGATGTGACGTAGATTGCAGCACAACATGTAATGCATACATAATTTCTTAAGTGATATTATTATATAAAATAAACAGACATTTAATTTCTATTATAGTTGTTTAATTTCAGTATTTTAATATGATATGATATTTCAGTATGTCTTTAACTATTTTGAAAACTTTTAATTAAACAGAATCAGAAAGAAAAATGTTTTTATTCAATATAGATTATAAATAATACTTATTGAAAGTCTCTCTTTTGTTTAATTTACCACTGGTTCAGAAAAAACCTCTGTCCTGCAAAGAACCAGCTATATATATATATATATATATAAAGCTTACAATCATTTATGTTACATAATTAACAATACAAAACAAATTAGAAACACCTCATTCCCAAGGGTTATCATCCATAAATTCCTTAATATGTAGAATAATCCTTTTTATGTTAACAAACTTAGTTTAATAAAGAATTTGATTTACTTACTTAATAAACTACATTTAGATATGTAAAAATATCTTAAATGTAGGTAATACCTGAAATA